TATAATAAGCCAGTTGATCATTTCTTATTCCTTTTAGCGGTCTATCTTACAGGTAGAGTTTGGTTACCTTTTCCTTGTTATGATCGTAAATTTGACATAGAGACAGATGTTTTTGCGTAAATTGCGGTTTGCGGCTAGATATCGGTATACTTTCATTATGTTGGCAGTCTTATCTTACAGATACAGTTTGGTTACTTTTTCCTTGTTATGATCGTGAATTTGACATAGAGACAGATGTTTTTGCGTAAACTGCGGTTTGCACCTAGATATCGGTATATTTTCATTATGTTGCTAAAAAATAATTAATTACTAAGAAATTGACTCTACCTTATAAAAATTGATCCCGTACAGGAATTTCCTGGAAATAACCCTCCTTTATACTTTTATCCATTTAATACCTTCGTTTTAAAGCTAAATCCGTGTCGGATCCCCGATCAGGAAAATATAATTTAGCGCGTTCGACGCCTCTTTTTCTTAGAGGTGACTTAAAGTGTGAACATGTAGTACTTTTCCTCTTCCGTACTGAATTTGTAATTAGATAACTTGTACGACTAGCACGTAGCTCTCTTAGGGGCGGTACCTTGGGTACGCCCTTTCCGGCTTCTCCGAATTTTGTGTTTATTCTGTTGTTATGCATCAACGTTCAAGGACTATTTTCTCTTAAGATATTTTTTCAAGTATGATTTTAATTCTGTTACTAAGTTTATTATAATTTTTATATTGTCAATCTTGTTTTTTGTTTGCCCGAACTTGACCGTAGGACCAAGAAATTTAAGTTAGAAAGACATTTCGTGAAGTAAACATCGCAAAGTTATCTACTTAGTATGCGCGCGAACTCCGTTCTGCGTAGCCCAACGTGATTCGCTATTTAAGTTTAAAAACATGACGAAGGTTAGAGATTGACAGCTCCATAAGTGTCACCTTTATAAGCAGTGTCCCACAGGGAGGGAGAATCACCGTTCGCAATATAAACGCGTGAAAACCTTAATTTTTACAGGTGCTATCACTCCAGCGATATTATAAAGCCAAACAACCAAATTCGCAAAATCAGTATCACGTGGTAACACCAAACCAAAAATAAAAGGTTTTTACCGATATATGTGAACATCTGCACATTCAAATACCCAATACAAACACCTATAACAACTCTTCGAACGAATTCGAAATCCATCATATCAGCGTACCTAATACGAAACCGAATTCAACTAGTTGATAAGATATTCGAAACCATCATATATCAGCGTACCGACTACGGCGATGAATTCTACAAGCCGATACGATATTTATTATATCGAACCTATTCGTAAGAAAACCGAAAGCAAACTATTTTAACCGAATACAATTGAATACATGAGAAAATACAAATGAATAAAACAAACCGGCTGGCTCCGAAAAAGAAAAATTTGCAACAGTTTATGAAGAGAAATCATAATTTTGTGCGCATCGATGTCAGAGAAATACAAGAATACGTCGACATTATTGAATACATGAAAAAATACAAATGATAAATTACATGTCGGCCGACCTCGAAAAAGAAAAAGTTGCAACATTTATGAAGAGAAATTACAGTTTTGCGCACATCGATATCGAGAAATACAGAGCATGTCGACAATATTGAACACAAGCGAAGATAAAAATGACACAAATATTCGAGGCCTAATCCAAAATAAATTGAAATTCGAGGTCAAATGCAGTACTGCAGCAAGATATTAAACCAAACAACAAAACAAAAACAAAAAAGGGTTTTTAAGAACATGTTCGATACCAATGAAGAATACTCCAGAGTTAAAGCATATTGCACTCGCCCAACGCACATTATCGCAGTATTGGTTCATACGTCAGCGTGCGTTCATCGAGATACGAAGGAGAAGTTTGGAGAGCACGAAAGATGCGTAAGAGTTACTCGAGGCGTAGCCGAGAGCAACTCTAGCTTCGTGAGTGCTCTCCAAACTTCCCTAGTGCTTCATATCTCGACGAACGCACGGCTGACGCATGAACAATTGTTTTATAACATTTTCAACCCAATGGAAAATGTTTTTTTCTCGAGGGATATGTTTGCTGACGTCATGAGCGTGCACAATAGGAATATGAAGCACGCTCGCGCAATTGAATTTAATTACACAAATTTACTAGCTACGGTTATAATGACTTATAAAAACTTATGTACACTATAGAAACTGTTGCAACACCTTTGTGTTAGATCGATTGGCAACCCAAACCAAGAGACAAATGACAACGACCATAGCCAAAACGAAAGGAATCACTACACTAAATACTGAACAGATAATGCAACTGATATAGTCATTCCGAAAACTTTACATCAATCATTATAGAAGTTCCCTTCAATTGGTTTTCCTTCTGCGCTGTCGCGTCACGCAGAGACATACAATTTCGAAAAAAAAAAGAGCCAAAACAAATAAACAAATATAAAAGAAAACTGAATGGTGCACCAAGTGAACAAAAACAACAACAAACCAAAAAAAAAAACAAAAAAACAAAAAAAAACTAGAGTATGACGAAAAGCAAAATTTTTAGGAGAATAAGGCAATCACTGGTATGAACGCAACTCCCCACACTTGGGTTGCAAACGAATTTTACGGAGCTACCAAGACTTCGTACGCCGTAGGAAACAAAATCAAACTTCGAGTTTTAGGCACTGTAATCTTCCATGCGACTCTGAAAATTACGACTGCCCAAATAACGATCCAAAGTTAAGCAAATTCCAAGCTTTGAAATTCACTTTTATACCATCCACTACCTAGCTTTCGGAGATGAAGCGTTTATCAGTTACACCGTAACTATGAAGCAACCGAAACAATAACAAAACATGGTGGCTATTTTAGCAGACCAAGTTCAAAATGATTGTCTGAACAACGAAATTTTAGTTTTTCCATCTCTAAATATGCTGCCCGAATATTTTCCCGAAATTACCTTAGGACTGTTATATCTACCTCATTTGCAACACAGATATCATCTTTTTCCTCAATTTATCGTGCTGTGGTTCTTCCTACTTGCCAGCAGATTCATAGACAAATTTATTCTTGTAATTAATTACTAAGAAAATGACTCTACCTTATATGAAATTGATCCCGTACAGGAATTTCCTGGAAATAACCCTCCTTTATACTTTTATCCATTAATTACTCTCGTTTTTAGGCTAAATCCATGTCGGATTCCAGATAAGGAAAATAGTTTTCGGTTTTTAATTTAGCGCGTTGGACGCCTCTTTTTCTTAGCGGTGACTTAAATGTAAACATGTAGTACTTTTCCTCTTCCGCACTGAATTTGTAATTAGATATCTTATACAACTAGCACGTAGCTCCTCTTGGAGGTGGTGCCTTGGGTACGCCCTTTCCGGCTTCTCCGAATTTTGTGTTTATTCTGCTGTTATGCAACAACCTTCAAGGACTATTTTCTCTTAAGACATCTTTTCATGTATGATTTTAATTCTGTTACTAAGTTTATTATAATGCGAACTCCGTCCTACGTAGCCCAAAGTGATTCGCTGTTTAAGAGAGTGTCTCTGTAAGAGTGGTCCGGTCGATTTTGCTTGAGACACGGATTTCGCTCATTTCTTGTGTGTTGTAAGACATCCATGTACCTATACTAAAACCACAATCCGTTTGATCGGATCTCTTTATTTTTTAGAGTTTTACGGAACTTAAATTTCACTCGAGCGAAGGCTTGTGGTGACAATTTTCAATACTTTAATTTGTGACAACTTTGGAGGACAATTTATAAAAAACTACGGAACTCAGCAAAAAAAAAAATTACCACAGCCATGTATATTAACTCTATCTTATTCAGCGAGGTGACTTTCGTGAACATCACGTTTCAATCAAGCAAACAGTAAGACTCGAATGACACCTTATCGGTTCGCTTAAGTCACACACGAGAAAACCGATCAAATTCAAGGTAAATTTTTGAAAAAGTGAGGCGTTCTTCACAGATCCAACTAACATGGCTAGGAAGTAGGTGCCATAGAAAAGGTAACTGAAATTGTTCGTTAAACTTACCATTCCTACATCCCCATACGACCATTTCTTCCAACAATTCAAACATTACAATTAGTGTTCGAATCCCCCCCGTCGATCCCACCGTAAGAAATAACCTGTGCCACCCAAGCTTCGACTCCAATGTGAAGTACAAATCAAATAACATAACTGCTTCATCTTTGAGGCAATATCACGTTGGTATTTTGATTTTCGGATCGACAAGAACGGTGATCAGGAAGCGATCGCCATGTTTACCTTATAAAAGTGATCACTAACCAGCCGCTGAGTGAAAACAGTGGGGAACTTAAGTAATGGAAGTTTTCGGGGCGACGGCGACCGGAGTGGCAGAGGGAAGCGGGGACCGATGTGGCCGTCGCCTCCCGCCAAATTCAAGTGTTTAAGCGGCAAGTTCATTCAGACAGAGAAGCGTGGCTTTTCAAAGAAAAAAATTACTTCTTTTAAAGAAACGAGAGAATTAACACTGTTGTGTTATGCTGAAAATTTACTTTCCGATGATGAATTTCTCGCTTCATGGGAAAACCATCAGTCAAGCAACCCAGATTTTCCTTAGACAGTTATGGTCCGTTCGACCTCGAAAACATAGATGAAGCCGATTGCAAAGCTGAGTTTCGCGTAGAGGAAAGAGATCTTCCTTCACTAAGAGAAGTACTCGGGATTCCACCCACTTTCAAATGCCCACAGAGGACTATGCGATGGGATGGAAGGACTGCGCATGCTATTAAAACGGCTAGCTTATCCTTGTCGTTACAGCGATATGATCGCGCGTTTTGGAAGACCTGTTCCGGAACTGTGTAGGATCACGAACCGAATCATGGATTTATCTATGATGCACATGGCCACCGAATCACTCAGTGGAATGACACTATACTGAGTCCCGGATTGCTTGAACAATATGCCACTGTCATCACAGAAAAAGGAGAAGCTCTAGACAACTGTTTTGGCTTTGTTGATGGTACCGTACGACCGGTCTCCAAACCAGGAGATATGCAGAGAATCGTTTACAATGGGCACAAGAGAGTACATGCTATCAAGTTTCGGTCGGTTGCTATACCTAATGGGCTCATTGCCAATATGTTTGGCCCTGTGGGTAAGTGCAATTGAACAATATTACTTTAACACCATCAGCAAAAATATGGCTAGCATTGATTTGAATAACCTGATGCAGTTTTTTTTTAAAGGTCATGGCTAAAATTTAATGAAAAGTCATTTGCTTATATACGGCAGTATATAAAAAGTACTGCTTGATCTTACAAGTTTGGAGCAAATGTAAGAACAAAAGATCACTACTATCACTTCTGTTGCTGTATATTAAAATTAGGAAGTTGATCAATATAGTAAGTAGCTTAAGTTTATTAAGTTTTATTACTTTGCTTTTTTTTCTCTACTTTAGAGGGTAAGAGGCATGATGCAGCGATGTTGCATGATTCTGGGCCACTTCATGACCTGGAAGCCTATGCCTACTCAGTAACAGGGCTAACAATGTGTTTATATGGCGACCCTGCTTACCCCCTCAGAGTCCATCTTCAGGGGCCATTCCGGAACCCCCACCTTACTCCCTTGATGGAAGCATACAACAGTTCAATGAGTTCAGTAAGGGTGTCTGTAGAGTGGTTATTTGGAGATATCATAGAATATTTCAAGTTCGTGGATTTCAAAAGGAATCTCAAGATAGGAATGAGCAGCATTGGAAAGATGTACATTGTTTGTGCGTGTGCACTTCTGCAAAATGCTTTGAGTTGCTTGTATGGCAACCATACTGCAACATTTTTTGACTTTGAGCCTCCCACCCTGCAAGACTATTGTGTATAGTTGATGTGTTGAAGAAAAGAACTTTATCTTCTTATGAAAATTTATAATTTGAAACAGTTATGATATGCAATAACGTTATGATATGCAATGAAATTTGAGGAGTGGCTCCTCCCAATCTGCCGATTAAAAAAAAAATGCATATAAACCTATCATGGTCAAGGGTTGTTGGGTGTAGCAGGGTTTGTGAGGCACAAAATTTCAGACACTTGTTATAAAAATATGTTCAACATGTACAGTCAAACAATTTTGACCAGTAAATTAACAACAAAATGTTTGAGCCTGATTTGTCTTTTTTCGTACCAGCTTTTGCATGACCATTGGCTAACAACAACAAATTAAGTTATAGTAATAAACAGTTAATTCCTCTCTTTAGGCAATATTTTTTCCATGAGGGTGAGCAATGCTTGATTCATCTGCTGTTGTTGCTGTAATATCAACAGTTTTTGGCTTTGTTGATCTTTCCTTAACTGCAGCTCTTCCTCTCTCAGAGAATGTTCTAACTACTGCATCACTGCCACTTCTCTTTCTTCAATAGTTCCATGGTTACAGTATCGGTACTGATGGCGCTGTCCTGGTATAAATGAGATTAGGGGCTCAGGCCTAATTCGCATCAGCACTTGAAAAGTTATCGATATCCAAACCATTCCGATATATTGCTCCTCAGCTCCAGTTTGCAGTGCGCTTTGATGTTACCACGATTATAGCGAGTAAAAGGCTGGGTTCAATCGTACCTTGATTACCACAAGGTGCATTTGTTCTGGGGGTTCATGGCAGATCCTGGCTTGCAGCTGAAAACCTCTGCGAACTTGTCATAGTTATGGAGCGTGCCAATAATTCTGTAAGAAGAACGACGAATAATACTAGTTTATATGGGCACGAATCTGACCAGCACCCGACTAAATTGAAGCAAAATCCAGAAAAATCCTAGTAGGTCATCAGGCGCTATTACGGCTCCTATTATCTTCTATTATTACTTATCACTATTATCATTATTATTATTAGTAGTAGTGTTAGTATCCGATTATTACTATAGTATCTTCCTCTTATCCCTGTGGGATAACAGGCACCATACTAAAGTGGATTCCTGGATAGTAACCCTGAAACGATCGCAAGCAGGGCTCTTAGCGGGAACCTAGGTGAGAACCCAGGCGTGATCACAGGCGCGATCCTGAACGGATCTCAGGAACGATTCTAAACGGGATTCCCAGCACGACCCAGGGGGGAACTTTGGGGACTATTCCGGGTGCGATCCGAGGCGGGATTCACAACACAATCTCAAGCAGGATTCTGGCGCGATCCCTGAGGGGATTTCTGTCGGAATTCCTAGCACAGTGGTGGCCGGGATATCACCTTGATTCCGGTGGGATTCCCCTTGTTCTGACACACTGACAGATGTCATTACCTGTATTTAGAAAACGTGTGTCTATCAGTTTCAAGTTGGAGATGCGCTGCTTTCTTCTTGTAGATACTACACCACGGCTAAAAATGAATACATTTAAAGCTTAAAAACTATACAAGAACATTCGTTTGTTGAGGGCACGCTTTCTCGTTTGATTAAAAAAACACGGTTTCCCCGAGAGGCATTCGGAACTTGGAGTCTTTGTTCGTGTGTAGCAAGAACAACCAAAGAATGTGAACAAAACTTTGGAATAAGGGCAAGAGCCATCAATAAATAATAACTGGCTCCATATGTGACGTCAGGTTTGGGAATCGAACCCAGACCTTTGCGGACGGAGGCGTGCGATCTCACCACTGTAGCTTCCTTCTCTCAAGTCTATTGCAGCCAACTTAATTTGGGGCGTAGCCCAAAGGGAAATTTTGATCTTGTGGTAAAACAAATTGTAACGAGACTCGATTCCTCAGCTAAGCTCTGTTGTAATAGTGCGTAAAGAGTTTAACTGTGGTGTACAAACCCGCGCGAAACCCACAAAAAACAATTGTTCTTCTGTTAGTCCCAGTCCTGGCAGAACCCCCTCGGTTCCTTCCTCTTGGACAAGTGCCTCATACGCCTGAGAGGGAACAAATACAAAATGGAATATATTTATTTCAAGATTAGCCGGGTTATTTTAGGTTCGCTTTGAATTCAAAATTGTGGAATAGTCGTACTTTGTATGCCAGTTTGATCCCTCCGTTGTCGGCGATGTTCTCGTTCTTTGTCTTATTTCCATTTATCTGCAGATAAAAAATAAAAAAGTAAATATATAATAAGTTCGTCTTACTCTGTAGCTCGTTTCGGTAGGTTGGACCTGGGTTAAGAATACAAAACAATCTGTGGGCTTTCTGAAGTTTCCGCTTTCTCGCTGCTATGAGAGTTAGGAATCACGTGTAGAACACTTATCCCGAAATACCAGCATCGATACGCACAAGTCTCGATGCTTTTCGCCAAACTAATTTTTGTAATGTGGTTTGACCAGATTTTAAACAGCTCTGTCGCTTCAAAAACGTTACATGCACAAGAAAGAGCAGAAACGTCATGCGCGCATGAAATTTCGCTCGCGCTTGCATGGGTAGATGACTCACGCTGAATCTAGCGCTTGTTATGTAATGTTCAAAAGAAGAGCAAAATTAGTTTACCTTTTTACCATAAACTTCGTACTGTGAATACTGTTTAGCAAAACACTCTGTCCTTTTACTAAAACCTAAATGAGAGACGATGGACCACCAGTTTTTTATGTTACCATCCTTATCGAAAAATTTTCCTGAAAAATATGAAAAACTCATTTGTTTAAACGTTCTAGTCAAACTAAACATCATGTAGATGTAGATACGCGTTATCGACTGGATGTGAGGTCAATATGGATATCGGTCATATTTTTACGGATATTGGTCATATTTTTACTAACGAGTAAAAACCATTCCCCAAAAAGTCCCAAACTAAAACGAACACAAGCCTTTTTTTTTTTGTTTTAATTTTTGTGCGATGAAAACGTGCAACCTCAGCGGGAAAAATGATCTCGTTAATTAATCAGAATAGAAGAGTCTCCGGCTTCATCTTTCTCGCTCGTGCAGCCAGCTTCTGATCAGCATTTTCCAAACAATTTTTGGGATTTAGTTTTCTTAATCTTACGCTTACCATTGTTGTCAAATCCATGTATTATTTCATGTCCAATCACCATACCGATCCCTCCATAATTTAAGTACCTGAAGAAAAAAAAACAATTTATCAACAGGAAAGCGTGTGTTGATAAAGAATCATTCCTGGGGTCACTTTATTAAAAGCACTGTCTTAGGCAAATTTAAGGCACGTGAACACTACCCTTGCTGGAGTTGAGCGCTTTTCGATTGATTCTCGTTAAACTAAAACCAAAATCATGACAACAGCCAATCAGAACAATGCAAATATCATAACGAGCCAATGAGAAGGTATAGTAAAAAAGGAGTAAACTGCGTAAAGCGCGGGAAAAAGCGAGTGACCAAGGGGTGACTGGTTTTGGCTTTGCATCTGATTGGTTGAGAGAGTGGCACTTTTTCTGGACCAATCATAGAGCGAAGTAAAACAAAGCCAAAGCAATTCGAGATAATAAAGATTTAATTGAAGATTGACTAATTACTACTTAAGTAAAGACTTAGGTAAAGATCGAGGTCAGTTGTATTTGGTCAGATTCGATTCTTCAAGAAGGTTAAGAGGTTCTTTTTGGTTTGTTTGTCGTTATTGTTGTACTTACTTTGGGTAATCCGGATTGTAAAAAGGCGGTTGTAAAATGGCCGCCAGGAACACTGGAACATCAAAGAACAAAATCAAATAATATCATTATATGCTTACAGCGTACAGATACAGCCTAAAAATATCTTCATCATGCTTCGGTATTTTTTTTATGTCACAAACTTTTAGTGCTCATTCAGTTTGTAATAAAACTGCATGTGTTTTGCAGAGGTAACAACCGAAGTTCGTCCAACCGGGTAAAAAAGGCTTTTGCGTAACTTCCCTATTTATTTGCCTATTTGTTGATCATGCTTTTTTGCAGTGAGGCTTACCAATGCGGTTTTGTCTTGGTGAATAGTAACCATTTACTTGCGAGGGGCCTAGGAACCACCTGCCGGGAATCAAAGGAAGACAAAACCGTTTAAGGCCCAAATACTAATAGGGAATGTATCTTTTGAGACGCCTCCTCCGTCTTTGAAGATTTTTTTTTAGTACCGAAAATGTCCCTCGAATGGAGGTTACACTGTATAACTTTTGTATCTGTTACCTCCAATGAGTGAGTAGGACAGCACTATTTCTGGAACACTTTTTTCTACTCCTGCGAGTGTCCCTTCTGGATGAAGGTTCTGTTGTAATTCCACTTACAACTAACCATAAACTCGTTCAATATACGTATTTCCGGTAGGTGGTCTCAGTTATTCTGACGTTTTTATTTGACTATGCAGCGATGACGTCAGAGGACATTTTAAATTGGCCACACCCTATGACTACGCAAGGAATATCATTGTTAGCTAATTTATGATGTAACGTAGTCTCACTTGTCTCTGTCCACAGGTTTGTCCAATACACTGTATGATTGGTTAGCGGCAAACGCCATGGCACTAACGGTGTTCTCAAATAGGTTATCGCCAACCTTCAGCTGTAAAAAAAAAAGTACAGCGGTCGGAGTCAATAAGGGGTCTCGCCAGTTGACACTCTTGGTGTCAAGGTTTTTGTCATCTGAGCAAACACTACTTTTTTCTCAATTACACTTTTGTTTAAATTACATAAAAGTTGTTGATATGTAATAGAGTCTGTCGAAGCTTTTTCTGAAACATAATATCAGATATATTCAAAGCCGCACTCGGACTCCAGTTTGATCAAGAACAACTTACTCCTTTAAGCGTAGCGGCTAGCTTTG